GATCTACAGGGGACTGTATGGGATCTACAGGGGACTGTAGGGGGTCTGTAGGGGACTGTATGGGGTCTATGGGGTCTATAGGGGACTGTAGGGGGTCTATATGGGACTGTAGGGGGTCTACATGGGACTGTAGGGGGTCTATAGGAAGTCTATAGGGGACTGTAGGGGGTCTATAGGGGACTGTAGGGGACTATATGGGGTCTGTAGGGGACTGTATGGGATCTATAAGGGACTGTATGGAGTCTATAGAGGTCTGTAGGGGACTGTATGAGATCTATAAGGGACTGTATGGGGTCTGTGGGGCCTGGATGGGGGGTGGGGGGGGGCTATAAGGGGTCTGTATGGGGGACGGGGGATTTGGGGGGGGGACTATAGGGGATTGAGGGGGGTCTGTAGGGTCCTGCACTCCAGGGGCTGCTGGAATGACTCTTAACCCCCCCCCCCCCTTTTCCTCCCTAGGTGTTCCCAAGTGGGAATTCCTGCCCTGCCACCCCCTTCCCGGCCCTGAATCCTCGGGAATTGTCCCGCTCAGGGAGGGACTGGAGCCGGAGCCACCGCCAGGAAAGTGCTCCTGGAATTCCCTCGGGAGAGCCGGGAGCGGGGGCTGCCAAAAAAACCGGGAGGAGGAGGAGCGGGAGGAAGGTCATTCCCTCACCTTGGGCAGGGGGAGGGAGGATGAGGAAGGCAAAAGGATTCGGCAGCCCCAGAACTGGGGGGATGATGATGAGGAAGATCCTGTTGTTCCCTCAGGCTGGGCACGGGGAGGGAGGATGAGGAAGGCACAACCCCCGGGGTTCAGCAGCCCCAGAGGATGATGAGGATGAGGAAGATCCATCATTCCCTCGCGTTGGGGAGGGAGGATGAGGAAGGTGAGGATCAAAGTGGGGAGGGGGCTCAGGGTCCTCCAGCTCCCGGTTCCACCTCCCCGCAGTGGCCCCGCGGTGCCGCTCCCAGTCGCTCCCAGTTCTCCCAGCAGGGACCTGGCGGAATTCCCGCAGAACTCGAGTGCAAAACGTGGCCGGAGAAAAACCCGTGAGGGTAAAAATAACCCCGATTCCGGTTCCAGCCCCTCCGAGCCCCGGGAGCGGCTCCGGGATCGATCCCGGGGGCCCTGGGAGCCAGGGAGTGTTTTGGGATTGGGGGGGGGGCTGTCGGCATTCCTCTCCCCCCCCATCCCGGGATTGGCTCCGGGAGGGTCTCGGCGGGGTTTGGAGTGGGCAGGGACGGCCATTCCCGGCAATTCCTGCCCCGCCTTCCGCAGGAACGGGAGGTCAGTGCCCGGTGGGGACCTCGCAGGTGACAAGTGACCCCGGCCCAGGTGCCGCGGGGGGTGACACCTCTCCAGGCGCTCATCCCGTTGCGAATGTGCTGATGGGGAGCTGCTCCCGTCCCTCCCCCCGCCCCTGGACGGTGCTCCGGGGGTATCCCGGATTTCGGGATCCCATCCAGCCCTCCCCGGAGTTCACAGAGTGAACTCCTTCCCTCCCGTCCCTGCCCCGCCCCAGCGCCGCTCCCACCTCCGCTCCCCGGGAAGCGCTTCCCCGTCGCCCACTCGGAGCTCCCGATCCCTTCACAGCCTTGGCCGCGGTCCCGGGGCTGTGGGAGCGGGATGACTCTGGCCCCAATTGCCCTCTCCGTGCGGGGGGGATCAGCCCCGCGGCCCCCCCGGAGCCACCGGCAGCCACTGGGATGAGGCTGCGGGTTCAGGGAGCTCGGAGCTCCCGTCCCAGTCAGAATCAGAACGAAGGGAATCTCCCAACAAGGAGTTTTCTCCTCCTGATTCCTGACTCTGACCCCCCCCCCGGCCGTGAGAACGCTCATGCTCCATGTGCACATCCCTCCACTTTTTGGGACGCTTGTCCCAAAAGGAACCCCCTGGAGATGGGACAGAGGAGACAGAGGGGATGGAGGCTCCGTGTACGGGGGTGCCGAGGTGGGACGAGGTCACGGGACAGTTTTGGGCTTGGAAATCCCCATCCCAAAGGATCCCTGGGTGCTAATCAGGAGCAGCTGCTGCCTCCAGCACATCTCCAGGAGCGGGGGGAGCCCCAAGGGTCCATCCCAGAGCTCAGGTTCGGCTCATTTTGAGGGAAAACAACCTGGATTTGGAGCCTTGGGAGCTCATTCCTCCAAGGTTTGGGTTGTTACTCCCTGGAGCACATTTTGGGGTCTCCTCTGTGCCATCGCCACCCAGAATCCTGGTTTATCCATGTTCCTGATGTCCTTCCTGGTTATCCAGCAGATCCTCCTCCCTGGGGAGCCCCCCGGGGGGGCAGGAGGCCAAGCAGCCCCCTGGGAACGGGTCTATTCCCGTCCTCTGCTCCCAGGCTGTTCCCACGTCCGAGAAGGGACTTGGGCTGGAAAGTGGGAAGAGTGGGGGGCGTCTGGGAGGGGAAAATGGGGGGCATGGACCCTCCTGGGCCTGCTCTGGTGCCCGCCAAAGGTGGGGAGGAGGAGCTGGGGGTGCTTCCAGCGGCGCTGGAGCTCATTCACACGGCCCTGGCAGCTCCCAAATATCTCCTAAGGCCTTTGGAGAGTGGTTAAAAATAGCCGGGGAGCTGGAAAATATGACAAAGCCCCCAGTCCCCCCCGAAACGGCCGTGGGGGGCCTGGGGCCAAGCTGGGGTCACAGCTGCTCCCAGGGGTCCCAGCACTGCTGACCCCCCATGTCCTGAACACTCCTGGGGGTCCTGGCACTGCTCACCCCCTGTGTCCCCCCAGGAGCCCACACGGGCACTGGCCCCTTCAGAGTGGGGGTGTGGGGCCCTCTCCTCCTGTTTCTGGGGTTCAGGGGGTTCCTCCTCTCCTAGCCCAATGATGGAGGTGAGAGGGGACCCCAGAGGGGCTGTCCTGTCCCCCTCCCTCTGCTGTGTCCCACAATACTGGGATATCACTGCAGGCAGTGGGGTACTGGAGTTTTGGGGTCCCTCCTGCCCGCCCACCCACCCCTCTACTGCCCAGTGATGAGCAGTGATTTGGGGCTGGGGGACACTAGGGGGGTCCCCAGTGCCCCTGGGCCTCTGTTGGGGGGTCACTGTGTACCCCCATTGGACCCCTGATGACAGAGTGTGGGGTGCAGGGGTGTGGGGTGCAGCCCCTGTGCTGTGGGGTGTAGTCTGTCCCACATGGGGTGCAGTCAGTCCCATGGGTTCAGTCAGTCCCACATGGGTTCAGTCAGTCCCACGTGGGTTCAGTCAGTCCCATGGGTTCAGTCAGTCCCATGGGTTCAGTCTGTCCCATGGGTGCAGCACCTGCCATACAGAGCAGTCCCCACCACACGTGCCGGGATGCTCAGCCCCATCCCGGGGTGGGACTCCCGGGGGATTCCCCTGCGCGGGCGGGCGGGGCCGGGGCCGAGCCCCCTCCCCGGGACAGCCCGGGCTCCTCCCGCGGGCGGCGGAGCGGCGGAGCGGCGGGACCGGGGCGCGGCGGCGGCGGTGGGATGGAGGGTCCCCGGGGCCGCTCCCGGGGCCGGTGCCGGTGGCTGCCCTGGGTCGCCCTGCGGCTGCTCGCGGTCGCCGCCTTCAACCTGGACGGCAGCAGCCCCGTGCTGAAGGACGGCGAGCGGGGCAGCCTCTTCGGGGCCGCCGTGGCACTGCACCGGCAGCTTAGCCCCGAACCGGCGGGCTGGTGAGTGCGGGGGGCTGCGGGGGGGCGACCCCCGGGGATGGGGGTGACCGGAGACCTGCGGTGGGGGCACCCGACCCCGGGAACGGGGGGGACCGTAAGTCCCGGGACGGGGGGGAATCTGGAGCCCCGGGACTGGGGGGCTGAAGCAGGACCGGGAGTCCCGGCTCTGGGAGGGGACCTGGGCTGGACGAGCCCAGGAGCCCCGGGATTGGGAAGGGAAGGAGCCCCGGGGCGGGAGGAACCGGAGACCGGAGCTGGGGTCCTCGGGATTCGCGGAGGGTTCGACCCAGCCACCCACCCGCGCTGCAGCTCCGAGGGGACGGGGACAGGCGCGGAGTCGCCGCCTGCGCGGCCCGGGATTATTCAGCATTAACCGCGGACAGGGATTGGGGGGGGTGTTGGGGGGGTTCGGGGGTCCATCGCTGCATCCCCGGGGTGCTCGTGTGGAGGGACCCCCCCGGCTGGGCCCCCGGGCCGTGACCGCCGCTTCCCCCGTGACCGCTGCGGCGAACGCCCACCCGCGGCTGCCGAGACCCCCGTCACGACCCCGTGTCCCCCAGCCCCCGTGTCCTCGTGTCCCCCAGCCCCCGTGTCCTCGTGTCCCACAGCCCCCGTGTCCTCGTGTCCCACAGCCCGCGGGGCTCCCCGTGTCCCCCCATGTCCCCCTGACCGCCCCCGGGCTCCTGCCGGGGGTCTCAGCGCCGGAGAGCCCCTGAGCGGGCAGGTCTCTGGGCAGTGTCACCGTCGTGTGCCCCCTTGTAGCCCCCCATTCCCGTCCGTTCCCGTGCCCCCGGTGGCGCCGTTGTCACCGTTGTCACCCGACTCCCTCCCGCGCCACGGTCTTGGCGCCGAGGGCGGTTTTTGGCTCCCGGTGGCCGCTGCGGGTGTTTGCGGAGCCGCACTGGGCTCGGTCCCACCGGCCCCGCACCCGCAGTCCCCGCCCGTCCTCCCGGTGCCCCCCGGTCCCCTCGCAGGGTGCCCTGACCTGGCTCCGGGGGGCACCCGGTGCCTCCCTGTGCCTCCCTCCTTTTTTGGGCATGTTGCTGCGGGGTTATTTTGAGTGAATTCCAGTTTATTTTTACCGGCTCTCCCTCTCTGCCACCCCCCGGGGCTCGGCCGTGTCCCCAGGCCACCAACACCCCCGGGGCAGACGGGCCGGGGGTGGCTGCAGGTGCCCCGTGGCCACCGAGGAGCCCCTGGTGGCACTGGACTTGTCCCGTGGAGTGTGACCCCTCGGGGACCCCGGGGTGGGGGTCAGGGTGGCCCCAACGCTGCTGTCCCGGGTGGGGCAGTCGGGGAGTGTGGGGGGGTCCGAGTGTGCGTCCCCCCCGCACCCACCCGTGCACTGAGCTGTGGCTGAGGCCTGGGAACGGTGCCGGGGCAGCAGCTGCTCGGCCGGGCTGGCACCGCCCGGGCACAGGGACATCGGTGTGGGCGTGTGACAGCTCCGGGGGGGCTCCGGGGGGCTCTGGGCACCTGACGGGGGTCTGTGCCCTGCCAGGCTGCTGGTGGGGGCCCCCCAGGCGCAGGCGCTGCCCAGCCAAGGTGCCAACCGGACCGGGGGGCTCTTCGCCTGCCCACTGACCCCCGAGCTCTCCGACTGCTGGCGGGTGCCCATCGATGAGGGAGGTGAGCTGCGCTCCCCGGGGGGATGCAGGGAGTCCCGGGGGGCTTCCTGGCAGGGCTGACCCTGCCCCCTGTGCCCACAGTGGACCCGCAGCGGGAGAGCAAAGAGAACCAGTGGCTGGGGGTGAGCGTGAAGAGCCAAGGAGCCGGAGGGAAGATCGTGGTGGGTGCTGGGGCAGGAGGCAGAGGGCATCGACACCCCTAGGGGAGGGGGCCCGGCACCCCGTGACCCCTCTGGGTGCCTCCAGACCTGTGCCCACCGGTACGAGCTGCGGCACCGGGTGCGGCAGCCGCTGGAGACGCGGGACGTGATCGGGAGGTGCTTCGTGCTGAGCCAGGACCTGCGGGTGCGGGACGAGCTGGACGGTGGCGAGTGGAAGTTCTGCGAGGGGCGGCCCCAGGGCCACGAGCGCTTTGGCACCTGCCAGCAGGGCCTGGCGGCCGCGTTCAGCCCCGACCGCCGCTACGTCCTGCTCGGGGCCCCCGGCACCTACAACTGGAAGGGTGAGGGGGGCCGGGAACCCCCCGGACGGGCGAGGGGCTGCCCAGGAGAGGGGGGTGTGAGGTGTGGGTGGGTGTTCCTGCTCAGAGCCCCCGGCATCTGCAACTGGAAGGGTGAGGGGGCAGCCTGGACCCCCCGTCAAGGGGTGAGGGGGTACCCGTGTGAGGGGCTGTGTGTGGACAGGGGTGGATGTTCCTGCATTGGGCCCCCAGCACCTACAACTGGAAGGGTGAGGAGTTGGCCCGGACAGCCCCGTGGAGGGGTGAGGGGCTGCCCGGGAGGGGGGTGTGGGGGTGTGAGTGCAACCCCTGCCTGGGCAGGTGGGCCGGGTGTGCACATACGTGTGCAGGTGACCCTGCACGTGGAGCAGCTCAACCAGAGCCCCCCGGAGCATGAGGGATCCCCGGGGGTCCCCCTGGAGTCCCTGGGGGTCCCCCTGGTGTCCCCTGCCCACCCCCCTCACCCCGGGCTCCCCCAGGGACCCTGAGCATGGAGCATCTCAACCAGAACTCGCCGGTGCTGAAGGGTCCCTGGGGGTCCCAGTGGTGTTCCCGGGGGTCCCCCCGGTGGTCCCTGTGGTGTCTCCCCTCAACCCGGCCCCCGCAGGGACCCTGCGCGTGGAGCAGCTCAACCAGAGCTCTCTGGACCTGCTGCGCCCGGACGCCGGTCCCTTCGAAGCGGGGGGGGAGAAGGACCAGGACCCCTCGCTCATCCCCGTGCCCGCCAACAGCTACTTCGGTACGGGGGGGCCCGGCCCGGGGGTCCCCCCCCCCGGCTGCCGCGGCCCCTGTGCCCCCCCCGTGCCCGCCCTGACACCCACCCCCACCCCCAGGGCTGCTCTTTGTGACAAACATTGAGAGCGCTGCCCCCGACCAGAGGGTCTTCCGGACCCCCCAGCCCGGCGAGAGGGTCCCCGGCGCCGCCCCAGACGTGGCCCACAATAGCTACATGGGTTCGTGTGTGCCACGGCTGTGCCACGCGTGTGCCATGTGTGTGCCATATGTGTGCGCCATATGTGTGCCGTGTGTGCCCTCCCTGCAGCGTGTCCTGTGCCGTGTCACCCATGTCACCTGTGGGGACAGACCCAGGCTCTGAGGGGCCCTGTGGGAGCCTGTGTGCACACACGTGTCACCGTGCACATACGTGTGCCCTGTACAGGCATGTCCCCTTTATCACATGTCCCTATGCACGCGTGTCATTCTGGACATATGTCCCCCCAAACACACGCACATCCCCCCAGCACACATTTGTCCCCAGTCCTGGGGATCCCCCTGTCCCCCCTCACATCCATATCCCCAAACATGCCTCTCTCTCTCTGTACACACGTCCCCCCCCCACACCCCCGCACATGCAGCCGAGCACACGTGTGGCCACAGCCCCCCC